GCGCTCTCCTGGGTGGGCGCCCTGCGCTCGGGGAAGCAGAAGCTGCAGGTCTCCACCGGCTCGGGCGGCGCTCCCGTGGGGCTTCCAGCTTCCATCCAGTGATCTGTGCACGAGGGAGAGGGTGTTGGCCTCGACCCTGGCCCGACCCCTCCCTCCGCCCGCATTGCAGGAAACCCTGCTCCGGGTTGGGGAGCCTGTGCAGGGGCCGGCCTTCACTCCGCCCGGACCCAAACCCCACCAGGGACCACTACTTGCGCTTTTAGCCGTATTCTGGCGAGCCCTGCCAACCCTGCACCCCCACCCCCGGGGCCACACCCTACACCGCCCTTTCTCAGCTGCCCCTCTCTTCTGGTCTTGACGTTTGACCTGATGCCACCAAGAGGGAAAGCATCCTGTGGGACTTGCCCAGACCTCCCCACTTAGACGGGGGGAGCGGGGACGGAGGGATGCCCGGGACCCCACCGCATGCTCACCCTTGGCGGACTTGGCCTGGGTCCCACAAGGTGCTGGGGGTGGCTGGCAGGAGAACTGGTCCCCCCTCCTCTTGAGGAAGCAGGCCACGGCCAGGAGGAAGCAGCACAGGATGGCACAGAGGCAGAGCCCAAGCGTGCTGTAGACCAGGGCCAGCTGGTCTGTGCTCAGCTTCAGCCCCGCAGGCGCTGCAAGACAGGGGGGCCTGCGTTCAGGAGAGGCCTGTCGTGCCCAAGGCCCTTCTCTGAAGCGTTCCCTCCGCAGGCTAGTGGCCCTGGATCCTAGGTCTGTTTTTCCCCTCATTAGGCCAAGCAAGCCACCTGGCCAAGGTCCCCTTCCCCCTGGAGGGCCAGGTCGAGCCCCAGCCGCCTCACCGTGAGGCTGGGCTGTTGTGTGGACCCTGGAGGAAGGGAGCCCCCTCAATCCCAGCCTGGTGGCGACATGTTCTGAGACCTCAGAGCTGGACGTCTCTGGCGCTGGCCCTTTTTGTGTCTCTTCTAACGATGGGATGCAGACTGGGACGGGACAGAGAAGGGTGGATGGACGAATGGATGACTGTCCAGGGAGGACAGCTCTGTCCTGACCTGGGGACAAGGGCTTGGGGACGGTCGTGCTGTTGCTAGTGATTCTGGGCAGCAGGTAGGAAATGGAGCGCCAGTCGTCCTGCGTCTCAGGGCCCTGAGCCTGGTCTGGATGCCACAGGGAGACTCTGCCCTGAACCAGGCCCCCCCTTCGAAGTCTCCCTGGCCCCTGGGCTTGGGTGCCCCGGGCGGAGTTGGCCCCGCGCACGTGTGATGTACCTGTAGCCACCTAGGCACCCTCAGCGCCCGCGGACCCTGAATCCTGCCGCTTCTGTGAAAGAGGGGTGACTTCCCCCTGTAGAAATCGAGATGCGGTTCACCTGACCACGTTCACCATGTCGAAGTGGGCACTTGGGGGTGTCAGAGTATTCACCCGGTCTACCTCCGTCTAATGGGGGGTGTTTCCGGCACCCCTCTGCCCACCCCCATCCTTCCCCAGCCTGGGCACCACTACCCTGCTCTGTCTCTGGGTGGCCTGTTCTGGACGTTTCACGAGAACGGAGTCATGTGACACGTGGCCTTAGTGCCTGACTTCTTTCACGCGGCGTGTTTTCACTTAGCATCCGTGTGGTCGCCTGTGTCAGCGCTGCAGTCCTTCCTGTGGCCGAATCACAGTCTGCTGTGTGGACGTGCCACGGGTGCATCTGTTCATCCAGGAGGGACGTTTGGGTCGTTCCACCCTTTGGCCGCTGAGCGGTGCCGCAGTGAACGTCTGTGTACAAGCTTCTGGGCGGACGTGTGTGTTCACTTCTCTCGGGTGCATTCCCAGGAGTGGGGTTGCTGGGTCGGGCGGTTCGAGGAAGCTGCAGAATGTTTTCCATGGCAATTGCCATCTTATAGTTCATTTCGCGGATGACAGACTGAGCCTCAGAGTCACCCTGGTCCCAGTGGCAGACTGCGTTGGGGTAGGTCTGATGGCTCCAGGCCGGGGCTCTGGGCAGGCCGCACAGACGCAACGAGGGTGACCTACTCCTCTTACGGCGCACCTCCTTAGAGTCGAGTGTTATGAGGTGACGGGGCTGGCGGGTGCTACCCTGACGTTTACGGAACTCTGGGTGGGCGGTGCTGGCCTCGGAGTCCCTACCCAGAGCTCAGAGAGGCCATGGGAGGAGGGGAGCAGGACCCCTAGTGGGGCACACCCAGCGCTGGTGCTGGCATCGGGAGTCAGGCCCTCAGAGGTGGAAGGATCCAGGGAAAGTTCTCAGGGCGCACAGAGCCCCCATATTTCCCAGCTCCCAGGCCTCTCGTCTGCTAACCTGCTCCCACTCGCCTCTGGAGTAGGGTGAAAACATGGTTCTGGCTGGATCCACATTGGAGACAGAAGGCCTGGCCCCTGGCTTGCTGCCAGGGACAAGGTGAACTGTGGTGTTGATTTAAGAAGGAAGACGGAGTATCTCCACGTTTCCGATGTCTTCAGCGTGAATTCTAACTCCCAGGACAGCTCTGGGACCGCAGCAGCTTTGTTTGTAACAAACAAAAGCAGGGGCCAGCTACAAGGCGGCGGCTGGTCCACAGCAGGGAACACTCTGCTGCATGTCCAGTCTCAGGAGGTAGGAGGTGAGAGCTAAGGGGAAGGCAGGCACTTGGGACGCAGGCTGGTGTGGGATACAGAGGACGTGGACGTGTGCTCGCTCAGAACACCTGGGAACTGACGCCCGGAACTGCTGGCAGGCGGCGCCTCTGGGGAGACCCTGAGGACCGGGGTGTGGAGAGGTTTCTCCCCAGACCGCTTGTAATACATTCCCCTTTTTCACCATCGGTGTGCATCACCCCGTCCAAGCAGGAGAGGGCGGGAGCCTGCTGGCAGTCTCACTGAAAGCTGAGTTAGGGGCCAAGCGGCCAGAGGACGGGGAGTCCTGGAGTTCCAGCAGCTGTGGACGTTGGGGCGGCCCCAGCCACGTCTCTGCTTCCCTTGTTCAAGTCACTCAGGTCTGCAGCCACGGACGCTGCCTTCTGTCGGCCTTCAGTGGCCTGGCCCCGGGATGGAGAGGTCTTGCGCAGAGCCTCCCGGTCTGCTGACCCCAGGGGCCCAGGGCGCAGTCGGGCTTTTGTCCGGAGAGGCTGCACCTCCGTCCTTGGCTGAAAACCAGGCCTGCGGGTGCAGTTCCGCGCGCCGCCACCAGGGGGCAGCGTGGATGGTTTATTTAAAAATCGGCTTTCCGTTGGTTGGTTGGTTCTTTCACTGTTTTCAGAGCCAGCTCTCCCCTAGACACAGGGTTTCCCAGACTGCTGCTGCCCGGGCTGGGGCTGGCCGGAAGGGCAGCGCTGTGACTCGTCTTTAGGGGCCTCTGTGGCCCTGGGCCCAGCTGGGTGTGGCCGGGCAGGACGTGATTCCAGCCGGGGCCCTGCAGCTGCCAGGGCTCAGCTGGCCCCGCTTTGGGTGCTTTACTCAGTGTCAGGCCTGCCTCCTCGTGAAATGGGGCGGGCCACTCCGGCCTCCGCACCGTGTCGGCAGCAGCCAGGCCTTTGAGGACCGTCCCGCAGGCCGCCAGCCTCCCCATACCTCCAGGCACGAGGCTTTCTGCCCCTCCCCCTCCCCCCAAGGTCCTGAGGACCCCCACCCAGCATCCTGGACCCTCCTTCCCTCAAGTTCTGCACACGCTGATGACTCGGGTGATCGCTCGCCCCCGGGAGCGCGTTCCTGTGGGGAGTGGGAGCCTCGCTGTAGGTCACTGGGGGGGCCTCCAGATGTCCAGTACATGGGCCTTTCCCGCAGAGGACCCAGTTTCCCATGTGTGTGTGACCCCTGACTGTCATCATTCTGGGAGACAAGTTTGGGAAAGGATGGGTCGGGGGCTGTTTGCAGGATGCCACCTGCCCCACTGCACCTGCCACCCACCAGGGCCTGGGCGCTGAGCAGCCATTCTTTCCCCTGGGGGGAGAGCTGGGAGGGGAGGGGCACACGGCTCCTGTTCCAGCCTCTCCCTGACCTGGACCTGCCCACGGGCCTCTGCACTTGCGCGAGTCTCTCCACGTAACAAAGGAGGCCGCCCTCACCTCTAGACCCCAGGACCGCTCCGTCCTCTCTTCCCTTTGCAGCCCAATTTTATTAAAGAGCTGCCTCTTTCTATCTCCTCTGGGTCACTCTCCACCCTCTCCTGTCTGTCTTATCGAGAGGTGTCACTGAGGATGTCAGTCCAGGGACCTCAAGTCCAGCCCTGGGGAGCCAGAGGGGGCGGCGGCCAGCCTTCACTGTGACATCAGGAGAATAGAGAAAAAACGCTCCAAGCCCTGAGAAAAACAGACAAAAAGCCAATGACAAGGCCGACCGCCAGGCCACCCTACCCTGGGACAGAACGGTGTTGCCCCGGCGGCAGCCTTCACGGACGTGAGAACACCTCTATTTCCTACCTCCAGAGGTGCGCACCAGCCTCCAGAGGGGACTCAGAGCTCTGGGCACCCCCACCCCGGCCCTGCATAGCTGGTCGAGCAGTGGCCCCCCACCAAAGAAGTGCCCTTTTGTAACCTGCACATGTGACCTTGTGACTTCATTTGGGAATAGGGAGCCTTTGCGGGTGTGATCAAGTAGGGACCTCGAGATGACCATCCTGCATGAGGGTGGCTCTAAATTCAATAAATGTCCTTAGAAGAGGAGGAAGACAGACACACAGGGAAGTGGAGCCAGAGGCAGAGACTGGAGGGACGTGGCCACAGCCACAGACGCCTGGAGCCCCCGGAACTGGAAGAGGCGAGAAGGACCCTCCCTGAGAGCCTCCGGAGGGGGCGCGGCCCTGGGACACTTGACCTCCGGCTTCTGGCCTCCAGACTGAGAACGTCTGTGCTCTGTAGGCCCCCAGTTTGTGGCCGTGGTCACAGCAGCCACGGGAAACTGACAGCCCAGCCCTGGAGGGACCCACGTGTGCCCTTACCACCCAGTGAGGGCCCGTAAGTGCCAGGTGGGGTCCCGCAGTCAAAGCCCAGAGTTGTTTAGGCCCCGGGGGGCCTGTGAGGTAGGAGCTGGGGTGACTAACTGGTGGGGACGGCGAAGCTCGCAGACCCTGGACTCGCCGGGTCACCTGAGGGTGGGGCTGAGCCTGGGTGCTCCTGCTGCTCACTGAGGTCAGCCTGCCGGCAGGCCTCCAAACCACCGTGCTGTCTAATGCGTCGGCGGAGGTGTGTCAGAGCACCTGGAGCGCGCAGTTTGCGCAGTTCTGGTAATATTTAGATTTAGTATTTAATTTGGTTAGATACTTTGAGGTGTAATTTGATAGGATCTTAACATCACTGGCCCTCCCTGTGCTTCTAGAGCATGTTCCCAGTAGGGGCCTGGGCTCCCCTGGTGCCCAGGGGTCCGCGGGGCTGAGGGACTCTCGCAGCCGCCTGGTTCCCATCCTACTCCCATCACCCATTGCTCCAGAAACAGCCTCTTGCAGGACCCCCCACCACACTTCCGCCGGGGCAGCGGGGATCTCCTGAGGAGCACCAGGTAGACAGGGCCTTTGACCTCTGGCGTCTGACCCCTCTCGGGCCCTTCCAGCCCGTTCTCTGCTCCTGCCCACAGGGGGCCAGCCTCCCCTTCCTGCCCAGACACCCTCCTGCCCTGGGTGAGTCTGTGGGGGGGAGCAGGGAGGCAGCAGCTCCCTCATCTGTGTCCTGCCCCTAGCCAGGGGCTCCTCCGGGGCCTGGAAGCTTCACTGTCCCCATGTTCTGGTGCCCACGTGACAGGAGAGCCAGGGAGCCCCTGGGAGAGTCAACCACGAGAGTGAGCCCCCAGGCCGGCTCCTTCCCCTCCCTCTCCAGCCTGCTCTTGGGAGCCTGCCCTGCAGCACCTCTCGTGAGCCCCAGGGCCTCAGGTCCACCAGGCGAGACTGGCAGCATCGGTCTTGTTGACACCCAGCACAAATTCCGGGTGGGGGTCCTTCCTGCTTCTGCAGAGTGGCCACCACACCGCCAGGCTGGAGCCCCCTACATCCTCAGGTCCGCAGCCTCCAGCCCCGAGCCCCTCCCAGAACCTGCAGTTCCCTCTACCTGGAGCACCCTTCCTCCGCCTCGTCTCCTAGGCACGCATCTCCTCTGTGGCAGCAGTAACATGTGCTGCAGGGGATCCCTGCTCCTCACGTGCCCTCTTTTACAGCCTTCACAGCAACTACGTGAAGGCAGGTGACTTCAGTCTTACAGAGCCAGGGCTCAGAGGCTAAGTCACTCGCTGAAGGTCACACAGTTGGTGGGAGATGGAGCCAGGGACCTGGCTCCACGGCCTCCGCCAGCCCCGTCTGCCTTAAAGGCCTCTCCTGGGGACCCCTTCCCCGCCCCACCGCACCCCTGCCGGCCAGGCTGCTGCTGTACCCTGAGACTGCGTTGTCATTTGCACGAATCTGGTCCACTGTCTGTCTCCCATCAGGCTGTGACTTCCAGGGGTCAGGGACAGGGGTCAGCCATGCTCTCGCTGCCTCCCCAGGTCCAGCTAAGCCTCCATGGTCAAGGGTCAAAGGAAAGAACTGCGTCGAGGGCTGAGACAGGGTGGGGACAGCTGAGCTCCCCCACTGTGTGCAGCGGCTACCCACTCCGCGTCCTCCACTCCCTCCTGTCACACGGCCCTGCCTGCCATCCCCGGGTGTACAGCCCTGCACTTGCTGTTTACAGTCCACACCAGCCCCGCCTACTCCGGCAGCACAGCCTGGTGTCAGACAGAACAGACCTCTGGATGCAGAGACACAGGCCCTGGGAGGCCGCAGTGTCCCTGGCCAGGCCCTGGTTCGAGTGGGACACCAGAGGCTCCCCGCATGTCCACCCTGACCCTGCCCGCACCTCCTGGGGGATGCGAAACTAGAGGCTCACCCTGGGCCTCCTGGGGAGGGGCTGGCTGTGGCCACAGACAGGAAGGGTAATCGTGTCCCACGGGCAGCAGGCCCCCTGGGGGCGTGACAGACCCATGGACTCAGCACTGGGCTTTGCTCTTACAGAGTGGACAGGCTTTGGCCCCAGAGACTCAGCCATGCACTTGATATGTGACTCACGTGGTAAGGCTTAGGCTCTGTGTCTGTAAAGTGCCAGGACTGATCTGAAGGGGAGGGGACCTGCTGCATTGGCAGTGGGTGGGGTCTGGGTTTCCCTGACCACTGGGCAGGCGTGTGGGTCACCAGACATGGGGGGAGCGCGCCCCCAGTGGCTTTGCTCGTCACCCCCTCTGTGCCTGCCACGTGTGAGTGTGCAGTTCCTCTCACCAGAGGCACCATGCTGCGTGAAGACTGTAGATTCTCTGTGGCTGCTAGTCCTTTGCCTTTCCTCCTACCCAGAGGGAGGAAGTCTTGAATCTGCCCGGCTGTGCACCTGGAGGACTAGGTTGCAGGGTGACACAGGCAGGCCCCCAGGTGAGGTGTCCAGAGGCCCATGTGTCCCACCTCTGACACTCCTGCCAGCCCCATGAGGAGGACATGCCCTTCCAGCCCACTGGCCCTGGAGGAGGACAAGAGACACGTGGAGAAGAGCACCCTCCAGCCAAATCCCACACTCGAGAGGAGGAGGACACACTGAACCTGGGGCTGCTCGTTACACGGCAGCAGCTCACTGGAGTAAGAGCCCACAGTCTAATGGAGCAGAACCTGGGCTGGGCACCTCCGTCACCAGGATACACCAGGCCTGGCCTGGTGGGAATGACATTTTTGTGAGCAAAGTCATAGCAGAGGAAGGGAACCAGCCAGCACCTGACTGTCCAAGAGCAGGGTGAATACCAAGTGTTTGCAGGTCCACACACTGCCCCACCCCCTCCCAACCTTCCTGATATCAGAGCCAGGGACCCAAGCCAGGAGGAGTTTGCTGGAAGGATTAATTAGCCCATTTTCAATGCTTAGTAGATGCCCAGTTCAGGGCTCCTTCTCACATGCCCAAGGTGGCCACCCCCACCATGGGCTATTTTGGTAACACTTTTCCTTCTCATTCTTCGGAAACCTCTGCAGCCTCTAAGTGGAACTGGGTACTTGCTCACAGCTCAGCTGTGCTGGCCGCCTGCCCCCGGGTCTGTCATCAGGCTCCCAGCTGTCAGGGCTTTTTATTTTCCTGCTTCCTTCTTGTGCACAGACTTCTAGTTGTTTCTTGTCCTGTGATGACCCCTGGCTTCTGGTCATTTGCCTCCCCTGGACTTCCCACTTTGCAGCTCCTCCTTACTGAGGCCTGGTGCCTGGCCTTCCACCCACTCCGACCCAGGGACACCACGCAGGCCAACCTCAGGTGGCTTACCTGGACCCGCGTCTGAGCCTCTGTGCTCTGATCCCTGGTACCTCCCCAGGTTATCCGCCCCGGTCGAGGCCGCCCCGGTCCGCTGTCTCCTGAGCTCTAGAGGGGGGTTCACTTGGCTCCTGAACTTGTTCTCACAGAAGTGTGTGCACTGCTTGGGGTGACGTCCGCAGATGGAGGTGCAGCTGATACAGTCCTTCAGGAGCTGGTCGTAGTATCTGCCTTGTTCCTTGCGGCAACTGAGTGACTCTGGGAGACAGAGATGAGTGCTGCTACTGGGTGACAGACACAGGCAGGAACTGTGGGTCTGGCCTCAGGGCATCAAAGGTAAAGAAAAAAAAAAATCCTAGTCCAGTTCCCCAAAAGTAATTCCAGGGTTATCCAAGTCCCTTTCCAATACGCAGAGTCAAGGCTATACGTTGTCCTCTATATGCCATTTTAGCTGCATCACACACGTTTTGATGTCGTATTTTTTCTGTGTCTAGTTTAAAATGTTTTTGTTTTTCATTGTTATTTATTCTTTGAGCTATATATTATTTAAAAGTGCACTTCTTACTTTCGAATGATATAAGGATTTCCTGGTTATTTTTTTAAATTGACAGCTAGGTTATTGTGTTGTCACTTGAGTTCTTTACTTGGATTTTTCAAACCTCATAAAGGAGAAACATATTTTGTGTAAACATAAGGAGTGGAGAGGGAAGCCAGAATCCTCCTTGGTTAAGTTGGGGAGGGGACTGGAAGGAAGGTGGGAAAGGTCAAGTTAATAGTGTTTCTTCTGTCTTAATAATAAATGAGAATTATAGGCGCTTAAACAGGGATCAGAGCCAAGCAGCAGAAGCCAAGCAAACTGAAGCCCACTCACACCTGCCGGAGAGAGCAGCTCTGAGCGTGTAGCAGAAGTCCACACGCTCACTGGGCCAGGTCCCTTGCCTCTGAATAAAATTCTGCTCATGTGAAAGTGTGACTCGTAGGCAGGTTTTAAGGGCGTGCTCTGGAAGCAGCACAAGGCCAGAGGCTGAGAACCCAGAACTCAAAGCCGTACAGTTTCAGGGAAGCCCTGGGTCCGCTTCACCTTGTGGGTTCAGCTCTCCATGCCTCAGTCTCCTCTTTCCCAAGAGTTGGGTAATGATAACATAACCATACTGACGCCTTAAGGTTGTATGAATGTTTGAAGTCCCCAGGACAGCGCCCAGCCCATAATAAATAATGCTCCGTTGATGGAATGTTTAAGTAGAATATTGATTTGCACCTCTTTGCAGACTCACTAACCCTGTGTCCTGCCCAGAGTAAAGGACAAGACCAGGAAGCCGTGGAATTGGGCCCTCAAGGGAGACTCAGTGGCCCTGATGGGACCAGCAACCTCCCTCATCCGGCCCTGGAGTCCCACTGACACCGCTGTGCGTGAGATGGAGCTAGCTTGATGGCAGGGGTGCCCCCAGGTTTGCCACGACCTCCCCCCACCTCAGGGACCCCAGCGTGGCTGTTGCAGGTGGCACCCGAACTCCCGAGACCACCTGCCCCCGCTCCTGACCTCTCAGACCCCCACTGGGCACTGTTGTGTTTCTCCACCGCCATGCCTTTGTCCACACTTCCTCCTCCGGGGCTGCCCCCATGTCTGTGCCTCCTAACAGTCAGTCTCAGGTGGCACTTCCTCCCAGAACACCTGCCTGCTCTCCAGCCTGTCACAGAGCTGCCCTCTCCCACCAGCGGTGTCTTGTGGCACTTCACCTTTCAGCCTTGAAATGTAGTCATTTCTCCCATTGGATGATAGTGTCCCTGAAGGGTCTGTCAGATTCCTCTCTGGGGGGGGTCTGTGGGGCCACACAGTGAGCATCTACTTTGCTAAAGGAGAGTGGCTGAGAGCCATGGTTGTTGTTCAAAACCTAACTTCCACTGTCGTGCTGTGTGATCTTGGGCGAGTCACTCAGCCTCTCTGAGCCCCACTCAGCCAGTATTTATGAAGCACTTACTATGGGTTGGGCACTGGGCTGGACTTAAGAAAGGAAAGGAGCTCACGGTTTTAAGTTCCATCAAAGAAAAGAACAAGTTAAGACAAAAACAGCAAGTAAAATACACTTTTCAGGACAATTAGAGAAAACTGGATGTGGCCCGGGTAGAAATGGAATTAAGGAATTATTGCTGGAGGTGATAAATAACTGAAGTTATATTTTATAGGCCCTTCTGTGTTAGGGATTCATGATCTAATATTTATGGGTAAACGAATATGCATTTTTGGATTTGCTTTAAAATACACAAGGGAAAAAATTGGTTGGGGCCTAAAAAGGCAGAATTTCTAAAGTAGATGGGTTTGTTTTATTATCCTCACTGCATTTGATGATTTCTGTGATAAAAAGTTGCAGAAGAAAGTGTGAACAGAGAATGCAAAGGAGGCCCACTTTCTCCTGGGCTGAGACCTGAGGCTGGGCAGGAGGGAGGAGGGAGGAAGGACAGGGAATTGCATTCCTGTGCAAAGGCCCTGAGGCAGGAAGGAACACAGCAGGGTCGCAAACAGCAAGGAGGCAGGAAGGTGGAGGGTGGAAGGTGCCACTGTCCGTCTCCCTCTGCCCCCCCTCAGGCCCTATGTACAGTGGCTAGGGGTCTCGGGGGGTGAGGGGGTGTCCAGCCCTGGCTCAGGCCCCAGAACTCACTGCAGAATGCTGCACAGGTGCGGGAAGCCTGATGGCTGCAGGTGGGTTTGCAGGAGAGGCAGACGTTCAGGAGGGGGTCCCAGTACTGCTCTTCAGGGCAGGGCGCCATGGCCACCCCCGGCTGCAGGCCCTGTGGAGCTGAGAGGCAGGGACATGAGGGCAACTGGAGCACCTGGAGGCCTTTCCTACTCTCATCCCCACCCTGTCTGGCGAGCAGAGGGAAGCGGACAAAACTGGGGGCCGCCTCCCTGAGCCTCGGTTTCCCTTCTGGGAGCCCTGCTCAGCCCTGCTTTTTGCCCTCACGAACTTGCATGCACCTCCTACCACAGGATCTTTGCACGTGCTGTTTCCTTTGTATGAGATGCTCTTCCCGCCCCTTGGCGGGTCACTTCCTCCTGACCTCTCACATCGTTTCTTCAGGGAGGCCTTTCTGACCCCCACCCCGGGTGACACACCCCTTCCTCTGCACACCAATATGCTCTTGTCACTGTGGTCACCTCCCTTTCTTAACGTGGTTGTTTGATACTGTCTCCTCGCTAGCCGAGAGCATCATATGGGCAGAGACTCCAGCTGTTTCGTCTGCTGCCGGGTCTGTAGAACCTAGACAGTGCCTCGGACGTGGTAGGTGCTCATTAAATGAATTTGAAGGACAAGCAGATCTAGCCAGTGCCCAGCATACAGCAAGTACTCAGTAAATGTCAGTTTCCTTCCCTTTTCCTTTTCTGCTCGGGTATGGGGCACGCACAGTGACGTGTGTGAAGGGCGCCAGCCTTAGGAGTGCAGCCTGACGAATTTTTCTTGAGTCACAACCACCCATGTCGAGGCGCAGACCGTGTTCCACACCTTGAAGCCCACCCTGGGCCCCTCCTGTCCAACATTTGGTCCAGGGACACAGTCTGTCCTGGGCTGATCCCCACGGCTGTCCCTGCTGCCCGGTCGCGGACTTTGTGTCTGGTGGTGTTGGTGCCGCAGGGCGTCTGAGGTGCACCCCGGTCAGCCGTGTGATGAGCCCCTCACTGCTCGGACGTGGCGCCTCGCTGGGCTTTTCTGTCTCGTTTCCTGCCATTTGCTTCCCCTTCTCCCTTAAACATCTGGGAGGCACGTGTTTTCTTTAACCAAAGTGCAGCACCGGTTTCACACGGTTCCTCCTCCTTCCCTCCTGAAGCCCTACTAAAAGGACAGGAAGAGATGCTTGTTCTCAGAGGCAAAGAGGATGAAGCACTTAGCACCACAGAGGACAGGTGTCGGCGACACTGTGAGAGGGAAGGCGGGAGGACCTCAGTTCAGGGTCTCTTTACGCTGATGCCTTTAGGGAACGAAGCACATGGAGCCACAAACCCTGGGGAGCTCCTGGAACCAGGCACGTCTGACTGCGGGGACGGGAGGGCACAGCAGGACAAGGATCGGCTGGAAGTTTGCGTGGATGGCTGGAGCTTCGCCTGCCAAGCAGGAGATTGGGAATCTCCATTCCCGGCTCCCCTGGCCATACCTAAGGATGCTGCAGCCAGGTTTCAAGACACCTCTCCTTCCCCGTCCTGCAGCTGGGGAAACTGACCAGAGCACTGACTGGGAGATTCTCCCAAGAAAGTAAAACACTGCCTAACCCCCCAGGACAAAGCTACCGCGTCGGCAGCCCTGTCTGCTTACCCCGAACCTCCAGTCAGCTGTTGGTGCCTCAGTCCAAGTTGTGAGCCAGCCACCAGGTTCGCCTGGTCCTGGAGCCGAGACCTCGGCCAAAGCGAAGCAGAAGAAACACACCGGGGCCGACGGAGATGGTGCAGGCACAGAATAAAACAGGACAGCAGCAGGCGTCCTCAAAGGAGAGGGCCTTCACACGCTCAGGAAAGGTGCGCTCCTTTTAAGGAGCAGTATGCTTGGAACAAATGAGAATTGCTGGAATTACAAATGTAGTGGCCAGAACAGAAAGTAGGAGGGCTGTAAGTGTAACCGAAGAAACACCCCAGCAAAGGGGAGGGAGAGAAACAGCCACGGGGCTGTTTCCGGAGGTCCTGAGCTGGCCGCTGGGCGACCCAGAGAACAGACTGGAAGGGTGTCAGCCTCCGGATTCTGAGAGCCGGTCAGCGTCCTGCTCAAGAAATTCTCTCCAGCCGAGACCCACCGCCAGGAAGTTCGGGAGCACCTGAGACCTAGCGCACGTCCTGAAGGAGCCTCCTTGAGAACCAGCAGGTCAGCAGGGAGCTCTGTCAGTCAGGAAGTCGGGGACATCGCAGGTCAAAGCAGGGCCATGGGGGGACGGCGTCGGGGAGGATGCAAGATGGGGAGCTCAGCGACCTGCCTCCCCGCCAGCACCCGAGCTGGCAGCACCGTCTGGAGCGGCGGCTGGGGGACTCGGGTTGTCCATGGGACAGTCGGGCAGAGAGGCCGGTAGACTTGGGGGTTTGGGTGCATTTCAGCCTGTTGTGCGGGGCTGGCTGCCCCTCCCAGCCCCACCCAGGAGGGCGGCAGTGGCAGCGCCCGTGTCCCTGGGGCGACTTGCGGGAACTGGGTGGGCAGTAAGGGCCTTGTGCTCCGAGTATGGGGAGGGTGGTGCTCAGCCCCTAGGGGCCCGCGTAGAGGTGGTGCCCTGGGCTGAGGGGGCGTCCAGGGGATTTAAGGAGACGTGCTGTCCCCCATTGGGGGAATCTGTCAAGAAGTCTCTGTCACGTCACTGGTTGCAGAGGGAAAGGAACAGAAACTTCAGTGCGACACACGCGGAAGACAGGCTTCGCAAAACAGTTTGGAAGAGTCACAAGCAGACTCACAACAACAAGAAGCCCGAGGAGGGAGGCCTGGGTCCCCAGTGGCCCCAGCACCACGCTCTGAAGGGCCCGAGGAGGGAGAGGCTGGGTCCCTAGGGCTCTAAAGGGCCAGTTGGCAAAACATCCACAGAACTCCAAGGGACAGGAGAGCATGGCACCTTCACAGAAAAAGAGTTTGACAGAGACTGTCCCTGAGGAAGCCTGGACATTGCAAATGCCAGTCAAAGGTTTTAAGCCGTCTGTGTCAAATACGCTCACAGCGCTCAAGGAAACCAAGAGGAAGAAGTAAAGGAAACCAGAAAAATGATTTCTGGAAAGACAGAGGTCATAAGCAGGAACCAAGAGCTTGGCAGCAACCAAGATGCCCTTCCGTAGGTGAGTGGGTAAGTGAACAGTGACGCATCCAAGCAGGGGATTTCATTCAGCACTAAAAAGAAGTGAGGGGCCAGGCCACCAGGAGACATGGAGGACCCTTAAATGTGTATTGCAGCCTGAAAGAAGCCAAGCTAAAACTGCTGAACGCTGTGTGATTCCAGCTGTATGACCTTCTGGGAAACACAACTCTGGAGACAGTGGGAAGGCTGGTGGTTGTCAGGGGTTTGGGGGAGGAGGAGCTAAAGGTGGAGCACAGGGGGTCGTGCAGAGCAGCAAAACTCCCGTGTGATACCATCTTGATGGATAAATGAGCGTCATTGTAGGTTTGACAAATCCCACAGAAGGTAAAGCACCGAAGAGTGAACCCTAATGTAAACTATGGACTTTGGGTGATAATAGTGTTTTTTTTAATTGAAGTACAGTCAGTTACAGTGTGTCAGTTTCTGCTGCACAGCACAATGTCCCAGTCACGCACATATATACGTATATTCGTTTTCATATTCTTTTTCATTAAAGGTTATTATAAGGTATTAAATACAGTTCCCTGTGCTGTACAGGAGAAATTTGTTTTTCTATCTATTTTTATATGTAGCAGTTGACCTTTGCAAATCTCAAACTCCCAAATTTGTCTCTTCCCACCCCCTTTCCCTTGGTAACCATAAGATTGTTTACTAAGTCTGTGAGTCTCTGTTTTGCAGATGAGTTCATTAGTGTCCTCTTTTTTCTTTCTTTCTTTCTTTCTTTTTTTTTTGGATTCCACGTACGAGTGATACCACTCTTTCTCTTTCTGGCTTACTTCACTTAGAATGACAATCTCCAGGTCCATCCACATTGCTGCAAATGGCATTATTTTATTCTTTTTTATGGCTGAGTAGTATTCCACTGTATAAATTATACCACAACTTCTTTATCCAGTCATCTGTCAATGGACATTTAGGTCGCTTCCATGTCTTGGCTGTTGTAAATAGTGCTGCTGTGAACACTGGGGTGCAGGTGTCTTTTCCAATTTGGGTTTTCAACTTTTCTAGTATATACTCAGGGGTGGGATTGCTGGAACATATGGTAAGCCTATTATTAGTTTTTTGAGGAATCTGCACACTCTTTTCCATAACGGCTGCACCAAACTGCATTCCCACCAGCAGTGCAGGAGGGTTCCCTTTCTCCACAGCCTCTCCAGCATTTATCGTTTGTGGACTTTTGAATTATGGCCATTCTGGCTGGTGTGAGGTGATACCTCATTGTAGTTTTGATTTGCGTTTCTCTGGTAATTAGTGGTATTGAGCATTTTTTCATGTGTCTATTGGCGATTTGTATGTCTTCTTTGGAGAATTGCTTGTTTAGGTCTTCTGCCCATTTTTGGATTGGGTTGTTTGGTTTTTTTGTTGTTAAGTTGTATGAGCTGTTTATATATTCTGGAAATTAAACCTTTGTCAGTCACATCATTTGCAAATATCTTCTCCCATTCCGTAGGTTTTCATTTTGTTTTGCTTATGGTTTCCTTTGCTGTGGAAAAGGTTATAAGTTTAATTAGGTCCATTTGTTTATTTTTGCTCTTATTTCTGTTGCCTGGGTAGACTGCTCTAGGAGAACATTGCTAAGATTTATGTCAGAGAATGTTTGCCTGTGGTTTCTTCTGGATTTCTTGTGTCTTGTCTTATATTTAAGTCTTTAAGTCATTTTGCATTTATTTTTGTGTGTGGCGTGAGGGAGTGTTCTAACTTCATTGGATTATATGTAGCTGTCCAGTTTTTCCCCAGCACTGCTTGCTAAAGAGACTGTCTTTTCTCCATTGTATATACTTGTCTCCTTTGTCTGTGGGTTTATTTCTGGGCTCTCTATTCTGTTCCATTGATCCATATGTCTGTTTTTATGCCAATACCGTGCTGTTTTGATGACTGTAGCTCTGTAATGTTGTCTGACGTCTGGGAAGGTTATTCCTCCAGCTTCGTTTTTTTTTTTCCTGTATTGCTTTGGCACGTCTGGGTCTTTTTTGATTCCATATAAATTTTAGATTGTTTGTTCTAGTTCTGGGGATAATGTCCTGGGTAGTTTGATAGGGATGGCATTAAATCTGTAGATTTCCTTGGGCAGAATGGCCAGATAATGATGTACTGATAAGATGTAGGTTACTCAGTTGTCACGGATGTGCCACTTTAGTGCAGGATGTTGACAGTGAGGGAGGCTGTGTATGTGTGTGTAGGGGTGGGTATGTGGGAACTCTCTGTAAATTCCACTTAATTTTTCTGTGAACCCAAAACAACTCTAGAAATAGTCTATTAAAAATGGAAAAAAACATAAAGTCTGAAACTGAGAAGCCCAATAACTGAAATGAATAAACTCTGTAGAGGGGTTCAACGGCAGGAGGGAAAAAAGAGCAGTGAACCTGGAGACAAGACTATTAGAATTATTTAGTATGAGAAGCAGACATGAAAAAGAATGAGGAAAAATGAACAGAACCTGAGGGAACTTGTGGGAGCCCATCAAATATACCACCACATGCATATAGAAATTCCAAAGAGAAGAGAGAAAGGGCAGAATATATATATTTGAAGAAATAATGGCTGAAGACTTCCCAAATCTTAGGAAAGACATGAATATACATGTTCAAGAATCTCCATGAACTGCAAGCCGAATAAACAAAGAGACCCACGTTGAGACACATTGTAATAAAACTGCGGAAACCCAAAGACAAAGAACTGTGAGGGCAGCAACAAAGGAACAGTCGTCGTCCACAGGGGGTCCTCAGTACAGGTGACAGCTGATTTCTCCTCCAAAACCATGGAGGCCAGAAGT